GAGTCATTTTGTCACACTGAGCTCTTTTTCCCAGCATGGAGGAGGCTGGGGTCAGGACACCAAGCTCTCTTAGGATTGTGTCATTAGTAGCTTGCTGGACCAGAGCCGCCTTTGTGCTCATAGAGCAAGAAAAGGCATTGTGGTTCTGGAAGGGATTACAATGAGGGTGAAGAAGAGACGCCTTGAACACTCATGTAGGTACTATTCTAATTTCCTGCAGACACAACTACACAAGACTGTTAAAGACTGAAAAAAATCTCTCTCATATCACTGATAAATGGAACAAAAAGTAACCTGATTGTTTTCTCATAGCAACATCAGATTACAGATCACTTAGTTTTATCTCAGATGGGTGAGTGAATCAGTCACCACATACCACTATGACCTCTGTATTCACACTTGAGAAGGGAACGACAAGTTTCCTAAGAAAAGTAAGAAAGAAATGAGTGTTAATTTTCAGCTTGAAAAGTAATCAGATGTTGATTACAAAAGTAATCCTGAGAACTAATTACTTTTGCTGTAATCATTTACTTTTGAACTCCTGCTTATGTATGTACGGTGATGAGTCCATTACAACTCCATTGGGTTCCCGCTAACAGGCACATTCTAGTAAAAATAAAGCAGTGCAGAGCTGTGTGTGTGTGTCGTGTAAAGGAGCAACATAAGGGATTTAATTCATGTAACACTAGGTGCTGGGTGATTATTCATTTGTGCAGCTGTGCTTCTGCAGCATTCTTCCCCTTTTAATTTGCAGTGCGCTGTGTTCCCAATGAATAAAAACAGGCGACTAAACTGTGCTTTGAGAAATGTTGATTTTGGTTTTGCATACACAGCAAAGCTGCGTGCGGTGGCAAGATATAAACTTGTTTTATTTTATTTAATTAATAGATGCAGTAATAGAATTCAGGGATCTCAATCATGTAGTGGGGATTTTAGCAGCAGTTCTATCATGCAATGCCATTATTTGTGGTGTGGTTATTATTCCATGCATTTCTGAAGCGTTTATCAGCCTATGAGCTCCTTTTATGTAGTTTAGAAATACAAATTATCCCCAAATTTGGACAAGCCTGTCCTTCACCAATCTCTGGCAAATAAATAAAAATAAATGCATACTGTAAGATATAAAACAGTGGCATGAAGGAGTGCTGTCCATCAATTAAAAAAAAAAAAAGGAAACACAAAAGCAATCAAGTTGTACAGCAGATATTTAAAAATACTTAAGCAAAATCTTGTTTCTGCCGCTGCATTATATGGAGAACCCCTTTTAAATAATAATATTTAGCTGTCACATAGCACTTTTCATTCATAAACCTCAAGCTGCAGGACTGGGACCATAGTGGATATAAATAGAAGGCAGCTGTCTTGAATAACTCCTGAAAAGGAACTAAACTCTGTCCTTCCCACCATTTGCCCACTTTGAGCTAAGTACTTCTTCCTCTATTAGCTGCACCAATTGCTGATGGGTGGCAAATTCTGTAGTCATCCACTAGCCATCACCTTCAGCCCTCAACTAAAACCTCTCCAACGCATCATCAAGGACCTACAACCGATCCTAAAGGACGACCCATCACTCTCACAGATCTTGGGAGACAGGCCAGTCCTTGCTTATAGACAGCCCCCCAACCTGAAGCAAATACTCACCAGCAACCACACGCCATACAACAAAAACACTAACCCAGGAACCTATCCTTGCAACAAAGCCTGTTGCCAACTGTGTCCACATATCTATTCAGGGGACACCATCATAGGGCCTAATAACATCAACCACACTATCAGAGGCTCATTCACCTGCACATCTACCAATGTGACGTATGCCATCATGTGCCAGCAATGCCCCTCTTCCATGTACATTGGCCAAACCGGACAGTCTCTACGTAAAAGAATAAATGGATACAAATCAGAAGTCAAGACTTATAACATTCAAAAACCGGTCGGAGAACACTTCAATCTCTCTGGTCACTCAATTACAGACCTAAAAGTCACAATATTACAACAACAAAAACTTCAAAAACAGACTCCAACAAGAAACTGCTGAATTGGAATTAATTTGCAAACTGGACACCATTGAATTAGGCTTGAATAAATACTGGGAGTGGATGTGTCATTACACAAAGTAAAACTATTTCCCCATGTTTATTCCCCCCCTACTGTTCCTCCCACGTTCTTGTTAACTGCTGGAAATGGCCCATCTTGATTATCACTACAAAAGGTTTTTTTTTTCCCCCCCTCTCCTGCTGATAATAGCTCACCTTACCTGATCACTCTCCTTACAGTGTGTATGGTAACACCCATTGTTTCATGTTCTCTGTGTATATAAAATCTCCCCACTGTATTTTCCACTGCATGCATCCGATGAAGTGAGCTGTAGCTCACGAAAGCTTATGCTCAAATAAATTGGTTAGTCTCTAAGGTGCCACAAGTACTCCTTTTCTTTTTGCAAATTCTGTAGTGTTTACTCAACAGGTGACCTGCTCTTGTTGTGAAATTCCTCACACTTCCTATTTTATCAGACTGCCAAGAAATGTGTCACCAGTATTTTTGTCAAATACCAGATTAATAACATGTAGTATGTGTTCTTGAAGCAACTTTCTCATGCAAAGATTTTGTATTAATTTTACCATGGATTTTGGCTCTGTGTAAAGCAGCTCTGAATTCTGTTTGTTTTGGATGGCATTGAGAAGATGGATGCCGTTCATTCTGTGTGAATGAATGGTGGTGGTGGTGTACAGCACAAGAATAACTGCTGGGGAGCTGGTTACAACAAGGATGTCCCCCAATATGGTTAAAACGTGGGTCTGTCTTGTAGCATGGAGAGCAGCTTAGTTGCTCAGATACTGTGTTGAAGAGCACACTATAGGAACTCAACTGATAAGTAAAAATGACTTTATATTAAGGATGCTCCCTTCAGAGATGCCACAACCGCTTATGACACCATAGTCAGTCTCTGTCCAAGGTTGTAGCATTGTGGACTCAAGGCCACTATAGGGTGGACAGGCTCTGTGACCCCATGACATTTTTCAGAGGGGGAGGGGTTTGTCCTAGTGTCCATGGCCAAAAATTTCCCTCCCCTGCCCAATGTTGTATGTTGAATTGCTGGTGCACTCCCAGTCCAGGAGCACTGAATAGGTACATAATTTGCAATGCATGTCAGAATCCTTCAAGGCGAAAGATGTAATAGGTAGCATCATAGGGATAGATGCTATATAGGCTACTTTAGAAATAAATGGGAATTGAATGTCTACATTCCTGGGTGACTTTGAAAATCCCACCTGTGAAATATACTCATCGCTACTTTTGCAAAACTACCCTTTTTATTATCTTATGTTTTCTTGCATTATAATAGGTATTGGGGGAAGACACACCTTTTGTTAAATCATATCTATGGACAAAGAGGTTAATTAGTTTCTCTCAGCAACCAAAAGCCTTCCCTGTAGAAAAGAGTGAAGCAGGAGTTCAGATTAGAGCTTCACGCCATCAGTGAATTTAGAGCACACCTGCATTATGAAAACAGTCATGTGAGAGACCCAATTATAACACAATTGACCCTGAGATGGTTAAAATATAGTTTCTTCTTGTAGTGTAGATAGGAGCTCACCATGTCCAGAGCTGTAGCGGTAAAGTTCTATCTATACCAGAAGAGGGAACCATGTGATAACTTGGTCCTAAGGATGGCTGCTTTCACAAGTACTCCTTTTCTTTTTGAGGATACAGACTAACATGGCTGCTCTCTGAAACCTGCTTTCATACTGTAGATGGGGCTGAGGGACTTTTATGGCAATCTGAGGTATGGCTTAGGATGCAGCAAAGTAGTTCAATAAAGCACTGATCCATTCACTACCTCTCAGTGTTACTGCACTGAAAAAGGAGTGGCATATTGAAGTTATAATTGTCTCAGCAGATGACATTTCCTAGATCTTAATTATCAGCTGGGAGGCTTAATGGTCCAAGATGCAGTTGACTCCATCAATAACAATATTTTGCACTTATATAGCACCTTTCGTTTGAGGACCTCAAAGTGCTTTACATATATGAATTGTTTAAGCCTTCCAACACTCACACAAGTTAGGTGAGTAGTAGTATCCCTGTTTGTCAGATGGTTAAATTGAAGCACAGGGTGGTCAAGTGAATTGCTCCTAGTCAAAAGAGTAGGTCCATGGCAGAGCTGGGCATAGAATCCAGAAACCCTGACTCCTGATTCTCTATGTATGTCACTATACTGTGCTGGACAGCTTTACCTCCCCTGGAAATACCAGGGGGATAGGTTGTTATTACTTTTATAAGATTAAAAAATAGGTGCATTGATTTTTTTTTTAGTTGATGATAAAGTTTCAACTGCTATCTACAGTGCATTGCTAGAGAATTATAGTGGAATGCTAAGTCTATTATAGTTAAGGTTTAGACCAGCTTTCTTTTTAAAGCTCCACTCTTCTAAGTGCTCTAAAATCTGCATGGTTACTCAGATAAATGCTCTGCATCTTAGCCAATCAGATATCTAGAGTCTTCACTCAGCATTCCATTCAGTTTATAATACATATTCGACTTACAAGAAAGAATCGTCTGAGATGACACAGACAAAAATATCAACTTTTAAAATTAAGAGCCCCATTTTTTACTCTCACACTGCCTTGAACTACAGATGAGTATAAAGGTGTGAATACTAATGAGCTGAGATCTAAAAAGCTGAGATTTCTTTTCTTTTCTTCCTTTCTTAAGGTATGACTGTGCCCACTGCCAATATACAGTTCCACAGGTTACCCAGTGCTGTCCCTGTGGGAATCACCAGGGGACAGGGTGACAACCAAACAACAAAGGTCCCATAATGCCTAGGCATACTAGTGAGAGGATTTTTATATTCACATTTGAGTTTTTGGCAAAATGACATTGGAGGATATAATGATGTCATTTAATTTCCTCCATGTAATGTAATAAAAGCCTGCTTTTGCTGAAAAAGATCTTTAGGAATTTATTATCATCAATTATTTGTATTACAATAGCAGCCAGAGCACCAATCAACTTTGGGATCATAATATGTTAGGCCCCATTGTACAAACACATAGTGAACAACAGTGCCTGCCCCAGAGTGCTTACAAACAAAATGACATAGATGCAGAAATTACTTTAGGGTCAGTGACTGAGCAGCAAGGCAGGGAACCCAAGCAGCACAGAAGAATGTTGGTAATCATGGAGTGGATACTTCACTTTGGGTTCAGTCTGGAACAGGGAAAAACATTGTACTTTCTGGCATTTTAAACTTCCCATAATGGAGTCATAGCAGCACCCAGGGTGACACACCCATTTTTCATACTTATGTTTGAAGCTCTTTCACCCTTTATTTGAAGAGATTGTTGGATTCTTCTGGTGAAATCACGGTGCCACTGAAATCAATGGTAAAGCTCCCATTTACGTCATTAGAGCCATGATTTCACCCCCCTCTTTCTAGCCCTCTCCCTTCCATTGCGGCACGCAAACAATGGAAAGAGTGGTAACAGAGAGAAGGGAAAAGACAGTGGTTCAAGAAGGGATGTGTGTGTTTCAAGCCTCAAAGCGGCGAATTTGCCAAGGACTGAGTGGAGGAATTCTCCTTCTCTGCAGAATTCAGCCAACCCAGATCTCTAAACTAGAATTTTCTCACATAGGTTTTCTTTTAATTATTTTTTTAAAAGAGGGCTGAAAAATGTGTGATCTCCACCGTCGTGCAAGCAATGTGCAAGGTGGCTACCCCCCTTTCTTTTCATCTATGAATGGGCATCTAATGATGATGTGACATTCAATAAACTGCCTGCTTACAGGATTTTAGGTGCTCTTCACCTACAGAAATGTTATTGCAAACTGGAGCAGCTACACAGCAGGCTGGTGGCTTTAGAGCTTTTCAGAAGAAGATCCTTCCTAACAAGAAGTCTTCAAGTAAAAGATGCTCCTCCTGGTGGATAGGTGATTCTCACTCTAATCAAGAGATCTGTGATCATGTGGATCATGGAAGTGCATAGTTCATCTTCACATGAGGCCAATAGGATCATTACACAGTGACACTCCGGGTGATAAGGCAGAATTAAATCTAGATGGAAGGTTCTCATGGCAAATGCAAGGGAATAGAGAAAGAGAAAGGCCATGCACAAAGGCTTGGCTTAATCTTTCCCCAAATTCTTGCCTGGATGTCATTAGGGAAAAATATTGGTCAATACTTATGGTCTACCTTCTGAATATTAATCATAATTAGTATTCGTACTCTAATAGCATTCACAATAGGCTAAGTGTTGTCTACACACACAGACCCTGTCCCAAAGAGTTTACAATCTAAATTAATTAAAGTCTTCCACTTTGTGTCCCAAGGATAAGGGGATGGACAGCGAGTCTTGAACAATCTGTACAATTGTAGGGAAGTAGATTTCCTTCCCATCAGATATTTCTGCAATGATAGCAGCTTTACACTTGTGTATGTCTCCACTAATAATTTCCACGGTGATAGCATCACAGGCATTTGTCGAGGAATTGTCGGTTCCATTTGATGAAGTCCCCAAGAGACACCAGGAATAATAAAGGTCTCAGATCCAATGAACCAGTCATGGCAACCTGGCCTCTGAGCAGCTAACACAACCCTGTAGACAATTAATGCCATTCACTGGCTGATATACAGTCCCTCAGTATTAATGGTGTTTCAGTCAAATACTAAGAGTGAGCAAACAGCTGTTGATTCCCATCAGTGCAATGCTTTCTCTGAAAATTGTCCTGGCTTTCCCTCCTCTTGCACAGGTTGAAAGGCCCCACTGTGACACCACTTCCTGTCCTGACTGTCTTGGTTCTCTTCTTGAACCACAGGCCCTGGCCTTCTCTCATATTCCCCTGTGCTATTTAGTCCTTCGTTCTCTGCAGGGCAGGCTGGATTAGCATCAGCATATTTTTCTTTGTAATGTTGGGTGTTGCCTGCAAAAGTCTCGCAGCGGTTCAGGTTTTCCTCTTGCACTGGACTCCCCACATTCTCATCAGCTGTTCCAGTAGCTGTTGTCCCCTCTTGGGAGTTTTGACTAACATAGACAACAATTATATCGCCCTTAAAATTCATTACTTGTCCACTTGATATAAATGTAGAGTTACTGTTTCCAGTCACATTTCCTAGGGAAAGGGAGGGGGGAAAAGCATATATGCGTGATTAATATTTTCTGTCAGAATTTTGTATCACGAGATGAATATTTAGCTGAGTGAATTTGATTCCTGTTATTTTCCCTCCCAGCACCAAACCTGTCATCCAAGTGTGTCTGGCTGGGATAATAGGAAAATTTCTCCCTTTAAAACTCATCACCTGGAGGCAAGAGAGAGATCTTTTGCTATATACTCTCCCCCTCCAGCTACCTGCAGCAAACCCTTCAGGATCCTGAATTTGCTCTCAAGTACACAAACCCAGATCATACTGGAAAATGCTCCACACATAATGTGTGTGTAAAATGCTCATTGTCTGTCTCTCTGAATATATATCTATGTCTTAGATATTCATAGATTACCAGTCACCATAGTGATTTTCAAATGATTGAAACTATTATGCAGACAATGCAGTAAGTTTAACTAAATAAAATTTGAAAGACTTAAAAAGGTTATTACCGAGCCATGGATAACAGACTTTCTAGAGTCCAATAGTGTAGAGTGTACGGATGGGGCAATCCTAGGAGCACATGAGATTATACTCTGTGACCCAGATCCTGCAATATGCTCAGTGACTTTAATGGGGCTCTGCATGGGCACAGGGATCCACCCATGTTGAGCACATTGCAGGATCAGGGCCTGTATCACAAAATCCTACTAGAATGATAATTAAAAGGTTTGGCCATGAGGTGTGCATGGCAGCCATAGGTGAGTTTACATTATGAGCTCGATCTTGCTGTCATTGAAGATAATTAATAATTTTGCCATTAACTTCAATAAGAGCAGGATGAAGCTCTGAAATTTCAAAATTCATACAAGAATTATGGGAAATGCTGGGAAGAGTTAACTTTCCCTCAGTTCAAACAAACAAAACAATAAAAACAGTTTTAGCTGAGTATTATTAGTGCTCTCTCTCTCTAAGATGTATTCTTCCTACTACAGATTACTTAATCAGTGTTTATGGACAGCTTCTAGAGATTTTTAGAAATTCATGATGTTTTATTGGCATTTTTTAATACTTTAAAATCAGCAATTTTTATAACCCTGTCACTGCAGTTATTCATTAATGTTAAAGAGGAAACCACGTACAATCACTCTTTATTAGCCATGGCCTAGCCCAGAGCAACCTGGTGTTCTCAGTAAACAGTCATGTTTGTATGCCATGACTGAATTCCAGTAAATGATGATGAATTCTTACAGGAGTACATCTATCGCACAGTTTGGCGGCACTTGGACTTCTTTTTTTAAAAGGCTCACTTTAGCAATATTATTTACTTTAACTAAAAACCACTACACTACTTCTTCATTTCTTTCCAGTTATCGTTGATTATCATGTGACTAAAAGTTCTCTCCTTTAAGCATTGCCTTATTTCCTGCCTGAGCTCTTTCTTTGGTGAAGGCCCAATCCAGGGTCACAATTCCCTGCCATCAACATGATGCTGATGTCACAAGTGCTGGATTTGTGGTTAGACTAATAACCCTTAGCATTTCCGTAGTGCTTCCTACATCCAAAGTACTTCATGAACATTCACCAGTGTTTATTGGTAGAACAGCAATTTTAGCTAAATTACATGAAAGTTAAATAGAAGTCAGTTAATGCTTAGCTGAATGCGATATGGGATTCTTAATTGCTTGTTAAAGATTCCAGGTTGATAGAAGAGGTGAATACTGAAATCCTCTTTCTCCAGAGAGTGGTAATGAAAGCTGTCCACTTTGCTCTACCAAATGTACATAAAACTTGGATCTAGAGGGACACTCTCCACAAGCATTCAGTCCTTTGGCAGCAACTGGCAGTCTTGGTAGAGAAACCAATCAGGATTATAGGGTTTGGTTTTTTTGTTACAATTTCAATTTTTTTGTTACTGGAACTGGAAGGTGGCCACAAGCTCAGTTTGCACAAGCCACCAAGCAGCTTTCACGTGGTAATGACTGTTGGTTGCTACTGACTTGGACGGGATTTGAACTTAGAAGTAAAAGACTCTGAATCCCATTCCTAATTCTTGAGTCACTCAGGGGTGAATGCTCTGAAGAAGTTAGGCTCCTAACTTTTATTGAAATCAACAGAAGTTAGGAGCCTAAATGGAAAGTTAGGAGCCAAACTCCTTTGTAGCATTCAGCCCTTAATCCTCCAGAGGGGGCTTGCCTGTGATAGCAGGGGACTGGACTTGATGACCCAGGCGGTCCCCTCAAATTCCGTGTCCTAGGTTCATAAAGGGCTTCTAAAAGGTCTATTTATAGTCAATACTAGAGATGGGCATGAACAAACACTACAGGTTCAATTCCTCTGAAATTTGGAGCATTATGAATTGGCACCTGAAGGCTCAGACCCATGTAACTGAACACTTTGGTTTGCAGTTTACATTTGCATGTTTACACTTTGGTTTGCAGATTTATATTTACATGCCCAAAGTCTTTCATGATAGGGCAGTTCAACATTTTTCATTTAAATTTTGAATATTGATTAGTAAAAGAGACACATATTTCCTTGGAATTTTTGTGGCAATTTCCCCCCATTTTGAAGCCAGTTCTCTTTCACAAAGCTGACATGCCACAAACTCTCAAACAGGGGCATTGCTGGGGGCAAGAGGGGCGGTTGTTGGAGCTATGTCCACTCCAAAATTTGCCTTAGCCCCCTACCCATAGCTACTCCTCCCAGCGCAATGGTCAAATGTTATGATAAGCAAGGGTGGCATGGTATGGTATTACCACACTTACTTCTCCGCTGCTATTGGTGGCAACACTGCCTTCAGAGCTGGGCAGCCAGAGAGCTGTGGCGGCTCATCATCAGCCCAGCTCTGAAGGGAACACTGCTGCCAGCAGTAGCGCAGAAGTAAGGATGGCAATGCCATATCATGCCACCTTTACTTCTGCAGTTCTGCGCTGTTGCTGGTGGCGGCACCACCTTCAGAGCTGGGCACCCAGCCAGCAGCTGCTGCTGCTGCCAGCCACCCAGCTCTGAATGCTGATGATGTTCAGGGCTGGCCTGAGGGAAAATGGCACCAGGCAAATAGGGGGGAGGGGGCAGCTCCCCATACAGTGACCCCTCCCCCCATGACTGGGGCGCAATGGCAGCAGGAAGTGTGGGGTTGCAAAGTTTCCTGCAGCCAGGGGAGGTTCCCAGAAGTAGATCTGACCCGTCCTCAGGAGTGGCTCTTGCAGGGGAAGAGGAAGTCCTGTCCCCCACAAGCCTATACAGGACTAGCAGCTGCAGCCCAACACAAATGTAAAACCCTCCAGCTGGAGAGCCCCCAGCTGTGCCCCTCCCAGGTCTGGGCCCAGTTCTTGGAGGCTAAAGGAGCCTTGGACTGACTATATGCGTGGGGGGATGTTGACCATGGAGCTCCCCTGACCAAGGCGCCCCCTCGACTATGGCGCCCTGGGCAGTCGCCCACCCCTAAGGCCAGCCCTGACGATGCTACCGATTCCTTTGCTGAAAATCACAACAATGGATGGATGGTCCTCAAGTGAAATGTCTTCTCTGCGGTAAGTAGTAGCTCAGTCTTCGTACGTGCGTTTTTTTGTTTCATAATGTATGTCAGTTTTTCACTAGTTTCTTGGAAACCTTGAGAAACACTTGCCCCACAATGTATGTTTAAGAAATTACATCTTGATTTTTGCTGCCTGTCACATGCTGTTTTTGTGCTTTATTGGTAGTGCTTTATTTATTTTGTGCTAGTTTTGCATTAATTGGCAGTTCGTTTAGTTAAGAACCGAATTGCTTTTGCTACTTTTACAAAGACTGTGACTCATGCGGGTGCACAACAATTAGAGCAAGAGTGAACCCCCCCTCCGAAAAAAAATCTTTAAAATGTTTCTAATTTTCTGGTTGTATGTATTTGATTGGGTTTTGATTTGGCTGGAATGGAAATATGGGCTCGATCAGCTAAGGAAAAGAGGTGTACTTAGTTCTGGTTGGTTGTTATTTATCTTGTTTCAAATAGTAGTGTGTGCACATTGTTGCTTTGGTTTTTTTGTGTGTGCAAATGGCTAACTTAAAAATATAATACAGTATAGTCTCTGATTTAAAGAAATTAGCCATCAGTATTATTTAACCAGTAATTTCCCCCAGAAGTTTGCGTGTTTATTGTTAATATTATTAGTATTAGCTTATTTATTTATTGGCTTCCTTTTTTTTCCTATTGATTTTCTGTGAATAAATGTTGCACCAGTGAGCTGCCAGAGATGTAGTTTAAAACTGATCTGTCTGTATATATTTTTGTTCTCCTTTTGAGGAGAACATAGATAATATACACGTTTAAGTGTGTATTGTTAAACAAATAAGTGTGTGCGCCCACAAGATGTATAGGGCAGCCCTGCAATTTTCTGTCTACCCCACCTCAGCCCCCACACCAGGAAGAGGTGGTGCTGCCCCTGTTCACTAACCTATGTGGTTCCACTATGTCAATTTATATTGAGACACAGTTACAAAATGCGTGTTGTACGTCTTTTTCTGTCCTAGCACTTCACAGAGGATTTCATGAATGCTTCTTATACACCCACAGCTAGTTCTGAAGCATGACTCAGAATGGAACCATTTACTAAGCCGTATTCCAGTTCACATGCACACATCGATATTCCTCTCGGAACACTGCCATTCCATAAGCAGAAAAAGAACACATGAACTGTGCATTTTGAGTCTGATTAATTAAAGATTACTATTTTAGAATTGAACAGCAGTCATATGTTGCTTCTGGTAAATAAATAACACAGTATGCACGCTCAGGTTTCACCAGCTAGCACTGTAGTATGGGAAGGCACCCAGTGGTGCTGATGCAATTAAAACTACATCGAGAGAATTAAACAGCAGACCAGATTAGACATACTTTCAGTCACGTGTCAGTCCAAACTCCGCTTTCCCCCTGCTCCCCAATCCCTAATCTCCCCTTCCCTTCTGCTCCCAAATATTGCTCTCTTCATTCTACTGTTGGATTTAAAGAGAGGACTAACACTTTGCTAGTGTCAAAAAGGACTTTACCTCTAGGCATACCTCAGATGTCCCTCATTTTAGCCCCAAAGGTACCTACTTTCCAAGCAAATCATGTGTAACAGAATGAGTCATTTATACCAGAGGAATGAATCCTGCAGTATTTTAAGTCTCCCATGTGGATAACATATTTTTGGGCTCTGACATATTACAGCCCACATTTGGGCCTGGGCAGGTTGACATGAATGCCTCCAGGACACTGCTCTAAGGTATAATATGCATTTATAGAAGGGTGATTGTATAACCATAGTACCCAGACCATCAAGACCAAGGTCCCGTTCTGCTAGGCATCCCAAAAGCATATATAAAGACAGGGTCGCTGCCCGAAAGAGATTACAGTCCAAAACTACTAGTGACACATTAAAGGTGGGAAGACAGAAATATACATATATAGCTTCTGTATACACTTCCCCCCCCAAAATAATGTAAATGGACCAACTGAACAACATCTGCCCCTCAGAGCCAACATAAATAGATAATTTCTTGTATCATCGTAGCAGATGTGGGTAGGGTGACCAGATGTCATGATTTTATAGGGACTTTGTCTTATATAAGTGCCTATCACCCCTTCCACCCCCATCCCAATTTTTTATACAGTACTTACTAATCTGTTCATCCTAGATGTGGATACTGAAGAGAAGTTTGAAGCAGGAGTGTGTAGTGGTTCTTAAGGGATCTGTTCAGAAAGGGTCACTACTGGGGGACAGGTGTTAGCCCCTAAGTCATTCTATTCCTTTTTTTTTTCTTGTTTGTCATTTGGATATTTAAGAATATACTAAATAACTGGGTTTCAGAATTATTAAGAAGACAGAAGTGAGTGTGTGGGCAGAACAACAGTGTGCATCAAATTATTTTAAAGTTCATTTTGACATGTTAAAAATAATAAAGAGAAAGAGTTAAAGAAACCGAAAATTGGGCCTGTCTTTATTTGTCAGTTATAATGGGGTTTAACTGAAAACTTAATGCTTCTGATTGGTGTTTAACTGAGAACTTCATGATGGGAGACATAAGTGCAATGAATTCACTTTATTCCACCATCAAAATATTTAGACAACAGCATAAACTGTCTGGGCTCTGTAGTGGGAGCCAGAGGATGGAGGTTTTCTTGCTGGGTAGAGAATAACCACTGGCACCAGCATGAAACCTCATTGGGTCTAGACTATTTCCAGAGTCCAGCGGAAAACAAATGTCCTGGCTTTTTTATCCTGGTCATTGAAAGTAGCTGCAAGGCAAATAAAAGAAAAAAAAAAGCTTCATTTTATTAATCTCTCCTTCCTCCAAACCATGCCCTCCACTGAGATTCAAAGTAAAAGAATACTGGGAAAGTACGAAGGATAATCCTATATGATAGTATGTAGAGCGAGCCTGCTGGAGGGATTGCTTACCTGATGCTTGTGGGAGGTCTGAATTGCTACAATTTGCCCCAGAAGTGCTTCTGCTTGTGTTCTGGTACTTTGTGTCAGTACCTTCAGAGGGAGTATCTTCAGTGCCAGGATCGCTTGCTAAAGTACTCTGACCCGCAGAAGGAAAGTCCAAGCCACAGGTGCACTGTGGATAAAGTCCATTTTCCGGTGAGGCTGTGGTATAGTCAACCGCTGCACAAAGGGGTTCGCTCCACTTCCTAGGAGATTCCCTAGATGAAACCCCACAGCCCACACAGTTGTTCACTGACTCAGGGTTCACTGGGAAGTGATCTGTGTTCTTTCTCTCCGTCTCCTTCATATGACTACAGGTGCAATGGCAAGATTTCTGTAGGTATTTGTCTGAGGAGGCATGGATGCAGTCCATTCCGCATGAAGGATCAGAGCTATAGGAGCCTGCTAAATCCACCATGCTCTCAGTTCCTGTGAAGCACTGACTTAAGCTATCATTCTCCCCCACCTCCAGTGGCTCTGAAAATGGTGACACGGATTTACTGTCAGGCCGACTCGTTAAATGTAAATAACCATGGGCATGGGGAGCTCTATCTACATATTCGTCTTCCATGGGAATCTGCCTGAAGTGGTCATCCTCAGACTCTGTTGCTAAAGACAATGTTGGGATGTTCTCTCCCAATTCATAGTGGATTGTATCTGGGCTGCCTTTTCCATAGAGAGTGTGCCCATTTGGGCAACCCATGTCTTCAGAAAAAACATAGTAATCAAGGGCTAGCAAACATATTCCTTCAGAAGGCTGAGGACTCGCAGTGTTCACCATGTTTGTATTAACAAATGGCTCTCTGGGGGATTCCTAAACAAAATCCAAAAGAAAAAAATGTTTAATAAGCAGGTCATCAGAATATTATTTTTCTTAGAAGAGCAGAAATGATAGTTAGAGAATTTAATATTCTTGCATTGTAGTTGCTGACTTAGAGCAGCACCCCCTACATTTTTGACCCATAAAATGTAGTTCTGCTTGGATATGTGACAAGGATCTTACTGGACAGGTCTGCTCCTTGTGTGTATTCAGAGTCAAATCTGCTCCCGTGAGTGACAAAAATAAATTTTTAACTGGTTATTGCTCCTGTTGGCTCTAAAGAGCCAAAACAGCTAAGAAAGAGTGAGTTAGATTCTATTCTTCCATCTGTCTCATTGACAGAATTGTTACTAAGGTCCAATCAGTCACACCTGAGCGAGCCCATTGAAGGCAATGAGGTTTGCACAGACAACACTGAGGGCAGAAGCTTTATTAATGGTGGTGATGCACGAAGAAGGAAGAATCCAGGTTGGCTTACAGGACTCAGGGTGAGCTTGCAAGGCAGAGAGTTCAAAAAACATTTACTTGTGAACTGAGCACGTGTGACCTGGAAATTGTTGAGACAATAAACACGGAAATCCATGATGCCATTTTTACAGTCACTTTTCAGAGCAACGCTACACTTTAAAGCACAAGAGGTTTTCCTCTCAACAATGGGCTGTTCTTTAAAGTTTGATGCCCAGATCTAACCTATACTAGATTTGAAATCCTCTAAATTCTAAGGGCCAAATTTTCTTCTTTGTGTGAAACTCCACTGAAGTCAATGTAGCAGTGACCATTTTCCTCAGCAGAGGATTTGACCTTAAATACTCTCCTTCATTTTTATAAAGGAAGGGCTGATTCTTCTCTTACTTACACCAGTTTTACACACCTTCAAGTCCTCTGACATGAATGGAGTCACTCCTGATTTAGACTGAAGTCAGAGAAGATTCAGGCCTTATATGTTCAGTGACCCTTCCCACAAATTCCCTCCATTTTTTCATTTGACTACTTTCTACAAGGAGTGTAAAAATGGCATTTACAGGATTTTTTCTGGGATTACCCAATGATTAAAAAGCCCTAGTACATTAGAACAACAAACAATTAACTGTGCACTTCTTAGAAAAGACACCAAAGGCTTAAAATAAAAAGGAATACAAGGCAAATAGTCCCTAGCGTTCAGAAATGGAAAAGAATAGCTATTTATGAAGAATGCAAAGAGAGGTCCTTATCTTCTAGCTATGTAGAGTGGGGGGAAAGAATTCAAATGGTATGCCATTTGAATTCACAGATTCAATGGACCCAATTCTGCTGTCAGTTTACCTTGAGTGTCACTCTCATAGGAGTTACACTCGTGTAATTTAGAGCAAAACTTGGCTCATTGTCTACAGGAATTAAAGCCAGAATGCTATCAGTTCTCTGTCCTTTGTTGCAACTACCTGATCACCTATTAGTGTCTTTGCTTGGGTGGTACAATAGTTACTGAACGGTGGGAGAGAAATCTGTGGACTCATTTGTCTGTACTAAGTGTCGAGGCTGCCATGAGGGTCAGGAAAGGAATTAACAAAGCATAACCACAGTGAAAACTTTAGAACATTAGAGTTTACCTTCGTCCCTTTTATTTGGCTGCATACTTCATTAGCCCAGTGTTGTAGATCTGCTGTAGGGGAAACAAAATAATAGCTATAGTGTTTAGCAGGCTTTCTTAAATCAATCACAGATCAAATAATATAGTTATCCATAATCTCCTACATTAAATTAAACCTAACTGTCCAGATTGTTTTTATTGACTCTGCTCAAAAGACCAAGCGGCTGTCTAGCTGAGCATTCATTATAACTTGAATTGGATACATCCTTATGGAACAAATGTCTATAAGGTCCTAAAATAGAATGTGGTTAAGCTATGTTCCACATCAAATGGGACTTTATTCCTGGTCACATGTCAATGAGTTATGACTGGCCTCAGATCGACCCAGTTGCAACCATACAATTCGTTAGTCTATTTCAAGAGGTGTCACATGAATGGCCCAAATAGCAATGAGGAGACCAAAGGAGGAACCCCCTCCCATGCCCGCATACACACCCCGAAACCACCATAGGATGGCAGTTTTGAATATAGTCTCTTCCACTTAATCGGAATGTGTTTAATTGGGAAATGTACTAAATTAAAACATCTCTGAAGGAAAAGGTTTAAACTCAGTGAGGCTTTATAACAGTGACTGCTGCTTTATGGGGACAGTAATGATAGTTTATGGGGATTTTGTAGTGCTAGGCCGTGTGTGCTTTTTAATATCATGCTGGTTCTCCGTGTTTGTAGAACAACTGGAACATATATCAAGTAGGTAGCCACTGCCTGGTCTTGGCCATTAGTTTGTTCCGTTCAGGCCAAGTACACACACCTAGTATACACTCCACTGTAGATACTGGCCTGCAGAAACTGGGAGGAGGCACTAACCTGATGGGGCTCTGCAGAGCCCAGACAGCAGTATTGCTATTTAATTGGTATCATCTGTCAGTCTGGAATTTCTCTTAAAGGGCATGAAGGGCCACTCACTGGAAGGGGCTGCAGAGTGATGGAAATCCAGATTAAGAGGATTCCACTATAACCTCCGCTGAATCGAAAATGTTTGGTTACCCTTAGGGTGACAGGAATTTAGTGTGGAAGTGGTAGCCAACTTATAAAAAGCTATTTAAAAGTTTATTTAAACAATGCAGGAGAAGAATGGCACAAAAAACCTAGGCAGGCGGGGCTGAGGAAATGAAAGGGGAAAAGGACAGATGAGAAAAAGATTTCCATGAGGAGGAAGTCAATGCAAAAGGAGTAATAACAGTTTGCTCAAATCAACTAATGCATAGAGGTTAAAATGAGTTTCTGCAGATGCATCAACATCCATGCAGCAATCGCTGCAGCATTTCCCCCATGTTAATAATATTTAATGCCATTGATAATACATGAAAATCACATTTCTCCACTATTACAGAAATAGTGTATCAAAATGTTGACCCTAGTCCAAACAATAGGCTTGATCACATTCTCAGATATGTGATTGTACTAGTGGCATGCCGTGACAGTTTTAGTAAGGCAGTCCAAAATTGCATCTTCCATTCAGTGTGACCTCACACATATGGTGTGTGTGAGGTTACATTGTGCAGAAGACACCATTTTGTTTTACAAAATTGAATCCTCCTTGGGGTCTGAACAGAATAGTCCTGGGGGCAGATCTGGTCCACATGCTGCCAGTTGGATAAAGCACAGCTGTCAGGCATGCAGGCCACACAATACATGCCTTGCATGCATAAACAGCACTCCACTGGACTGTACATTAGCTAAGATCTAATTTTGACGAACCAGTTACTGCACAATAGCTGATTTGACAGGGTACCAGAGCGATAAGCCTAATACATTTCTGTACTAGAGAAAAGGAATCCAAAGTCCTGCTTTGTGCCAGCTAAAATACATAAACTGTAGAGCATATAGTTTTCCAACCAATGCATGTGTTTTTAACCTGATGAGTCCCACTAAATTCAAATCACACAGTTTAAACCTCTACCCATAAAAATACAGATTTCACATTAAGTTGAATTCCTAAAAATCATTAGCCATAATGTACCTGTCAGTGCTTTCCCCTTATTTTTGTAACATACAATAAGTATGATAATGCTGGTTAATATCACAAAGAGGACTGGAACAGTCAGAACATACAAGATCTTGTTTGTTTCTGTAGGATGAAAAGAAAAATCACATCAGTGTGCAGCTTATACTTAGCAATGATACGATCCTTGCTTACTTTTCTTACTTGGATGCAGTAAGATGTTTCCATTGGAACTTAGATTTCTAAAATAACCCCGATAGCTTTATAACACATTATGTTGAGTAACAAGGAGCCTGATCAAGCCCATGCTTTACAATACTATCTTTAAAAGAACTACTGATTTAAATGCTGAAGACAGACCAATACAGGCATGCCCAAATTTTGCTGAGTTGAGGGGTTCATGTGTAAGCTGCCAGGAGCCCAAGAGCTATACTTGATTTGCTTGAAAAGGCTCTGAAAGCAGTCTCTATGAGCTACACAGGCCCCAGCATGCCAGACAGCCTTCGGTTCAGAGCATGATGGCTCACTGCATGCTGAAACACGTAGTCTCGCTGGGGCAGCACATCCACATTAAAGATAAAAAGGGCAATGGGCCTCATTATCAGACATCAAGGGCTGCCTTTGACTGACACTAGCAACAGTGCACAGACAGAAGTTGTCGCTTTTTTAAAAAATAGTTAAAAATGAGAAGAATGCAAAAAAGTCAGAACTGCAACTGTGATGGTAGTTAATAGGTATTATAACAACAATCTCATCTGGTACGTAATTTCAATAAAAAGTATAAAGCTGTGTACAGTACTGAACATAGACTGTAGTTGTGATTTCTCACAAGGAGCTTCAATTCAGAATGGCATAAAATAATCTTTAATACCAAAATATTTTGAGGCGGATTTTCAAAAAAGGCTCAGAATTGGCCCAACTGCTTTCTTTAAAGCCAGCTTCAGTGGGAACAGAGTCATGCCAGCACTGAGCCCTTTTGAAAATCCTACCCTATACTTTCTGATGGATAATTATGTATGATGAAATATACCATCTTGTGGTTGTACAGACATCGTAGTCTCCGCGCAAACTGCATCTGACCGATCAGTCCCAGGAGCTCCTTCTGCAGTTCCCAAAGCTGTGCAGCTACAAAAATAAAGAAAAAAAAATGCTGGATGATCATGTAGAGAGCTGGCAATGACACCCACATTTAGGTTGCCTAACACTTTCCATTATAAGAGATTCTCGGAGCCTTTAATTTTTAATAATCTCTACCACCTCCATTGTTTTCCTTTGAAATTTGGCAGGCAGAAAGCCCTCAACATAAAGATTTTCTTTGTCCCATAAAATTCTATTGAGGTTTTGTGGATTTATAAACTGTTAACAGCCACTATGGCTTTTCCTCGGCTTGTGTTCCTCAGGAAAATTGTGTCAGCTTGCCAAAATAAAAGGAACATTCTAAAGTGCCAGGCCCCAGCCTCAACGTGATCCTGCACTGGGAACATGTGGGAGCTGCTGGAGCAGCTATAGTGACGGGAAGGGGTGAAAGCCAATGTAGGCTCACAACTTTTGACTCCACACACTGGACTTGGTGCATGGCTCCGGTATCCCAACTCCCTTTCCAGTACCCAGGGCCAGGAGGAGTGGGAGTAGGAGAACTGAGGCCAGGCTCCTCCCAGCACATGGCCTCAGCAGCCCATTTCCCCCCTCTTGAGCACCACCTGGGGCACAAGCCTCCTACTTCTGAGGCAGGGGAAAGAGAGAGAGAGAGAGAGTCAGGCTAGGCCAGGCTTCCCCTGACCACTCCCGGACTCAGCACTTGGTGTCAGTGGCCGATTCCCCCCCTCTGTGAGAATAGCCTTCTCCTGCTGCTCGCTAATAGAGTTAGTCCTGTAACTCAAGTAGTAGCAGTCAGTGTTGAAGGTTCAGGGTTCAAAGGCTGTTGATCACATGCTATGGGGGATTGTTACAGTTGTACATAGCTGAATTCGTTATTTTTCTTTTTTAAAAATTAGGAAATTACATATTTAAAAATTAGATTACAAGAGCCTTACTTAGGGTGCAAAGTCAAACACTCAAAAGGTAGGAAATGCCAGATTTACATTTGCCTGTGGAGCATTAATTCAGCCCCCTTGTGCATATGAATTATGATACCCTCTTTAATTGCATGATCACATACTATATTTTCCACAGGATCCAGGCCTCACTCAGTGCACAGGTTAGATGAACAAGGGGGACAGAATTAAGGATGCACAGACAAATGCAAATCTGGCATTTCCTATCTTTTAGGTGCTACACTTTGCAGTCTAAACATAATTCTTTTAATGTAGGGGTTTTTTTGTATGTATTGCAGTGTGTGTTATGTAATGGGATGATCACATACATATCCATCTAAAGGGCACTATCTGCTTTCACTTCGTATTGTAGTCATTACGAAAGGCTGCCCTATTTGCTCTATAGTTTTAAATTTGTATTTCTAATTTATATTTCAAACACATAGCATCTTCACTAGTTTGGTCCCTGTTATGGTAAAGCAAGTCTCTTTGTTATATTATATTTTGCTTAATTGAGTAGCATATCCCAGAAAGGGGCCACCCACTGAATTGCTTTATGTCTACCAAACCCACAGGCACAGAGAAGAGGGTATTGGGAATGCAGGTGATGCTATGTGCAGCTGAACTGCTTCATCTTTATGAGAGGTTAAATCTGAAGAAGAGAACAAGCAATGAATGGGGAAAAAAAGACAGAGAACAGACAGAAGGCTGCAGAGAAGGAAGGATGGGCCAGACAACTCACAGGAGGTATAACAGTAGCCACTGTAGTCAGTGGACACTACACTGCTCCTGCCGTGTGATAGTGTTGGTCTTTATGACCTAGATTCATGTCAGGTGACAGGAAACGAACATCCATTTCTTATCATAGCTTGTGTGTGTTCATGTCCTTATTAGATCAAAACAGATGAAAACAGGAGGAGAAATGAGGAACAGGGGAGACAAAGAGAGAGAAAAGCAGAATTAGGAAACAAGAGAGAAGAGAAAGAGAGAGTGCAAGCGAAAGAAAAATAGAGACAGAAAACTCCTCCTCCATGAAACAACCCCTTGTCAGACAGAAAAAAGTGCTCTCAAAAAAGCCATCACAGGCACAAGGAAGTGGCAAGAACAAGAGGGAAGAAAGAGCTGAATCAGGACCAAGGTGAGAAATGTATAAAAAGTGACCAAGGGCAAGAAGAGGGGCACGAACTGACCAGAATGCTCTAGCTCAACAGTTTTGTTGCAATTCACTTCCCTTGCTTTTCCCGGGTGAGGATCAAGCTCTGATGTGAGAATTCCCTTATTTAAATCTGCTCTGGCAAAGCTGCTGATCAGTGTGCTACAAAGAGAGAAGCTCCCTGACAGTCCGTTGAATGTTCCGTTCTTCAGCTGAAAAATCAATTTGTCCAGGCCTCTTACAGCTTTGTGGTTATCTCACAGTTGTGTTATAGGAGAGGTGCACTTACTTGGTCCAGGATTTACACTCATCGGTGGATGAAAAGATGTCTGAAAAGTACCCCCAACGGCATGGTGCACACACCGTATCCTTGTCTCGTTGCACTGTGGTAGAGGAAACAAACAGCGCAACTGTAATTTCACCTCAGACTTGGAGAAGATTTTTCCCCCCTGAAAATCCTTCCATGATGAGGGAGATCTTACATTATATTAAAGGAGGCAACTGGAGTTAAATCTGAGCAGAAAGTAGTGGTAAATGAGGTCTGTATAGAGTCAAAACAAGAAACAAAGACATGACAGGAGCTCTTTCCACAGCTCTGGTGAAAAAACAGTGGGAGGAGCTAACTCCATTGTAACTACCAGTCTTGTGTTAAAAGAAAAGGAGTACTTGTGGCACCTTAGAGACTAATCAATTTAGTTGAGCATAAGCTTTCGTGAGCTACAGCTCACTTCATCGGATGCATTCAGTGGAATGTCTTGTGTTAATGCAGTTACATTATGTCAGTTACTTATACCACCACTATTACAGAGCCACACTGCGGACTCCATAATTATGATGGGTGTTCACAATACCAGCTATTGTGGAGAAGAAATCATTGTGTTGAGTCCAGATACAGCACTTACTTCTCCAGCAGTCAGTCCTGTACCATTTTTACGTTGTTCCCGCCACTTGGAATGGTCTCCTTTCTTACCAATGTCCAGTATAAACTGATTTTGACCCCCTCTGATTTCCACTCCCGAAAAGCAAACGAACAAACCAACCAACCCACCTCCTTTTAGCCTGAAATTTCACAGCTAGTCTGATGTCAGAGGTGATTTGTTTTTGTCACATCTGAAGTAAATCCATAAAACTGCTTGAGTTGTAATACATACATAACTACTACTCTGTTAATTTTCAAAAGGTGTTCATAATTTTTACCTTTGCCTAATGCTATAAAATTGAACTTAGCATGGTTCATTCAGTTCAACTTAACCTGAACACTGAGATCACAATGAGAGCATATGCGTGGGGATGCTTTTGTGAATATTGGAGTTACAATTTTTAAAGTTAATCAGAGTCAAATTCCTTAGCGTTCAGAGTGCAGTGAAGTCTCCCATGACAATTATAGAATTCATGATAAAACTTGCCAGGTCCACCTCAACGAAGAGATTTTAGTCAAAATAAAAATTCTCAAGTTTCTTCCTTATTTTGGGGAAGTTCTATGGCCTGTGTTATGCAGGAGGTTACAAGAAATTATCACAATGGTCCCTTTGACCTTGGAATCTCTGACTGTATGAAAGGCAGCCTTCAAAACATAAACAGATCGTGACGGTTGTACGTCAGTTATTATACCTACAACACACCTCTCCCACTCACATTGGCCTGAGATCCCAATCAACCCTCTCTTTAAAGGCTGGGACTCCATTCCTCTAGATATCCACTCTACATATCTTACCAGGATGCTGAACGCCAAATCCTAGAGCACATTTTGTATTTCGCAGACAGTAATCACAGTCTTCGTTACAGTGGTATCCCAGTGTACATGCACATTGTCGCTGGAACGTGCTATTTCCTGGATTCACTTCTATTAAACCTTTCCCTAAATGAGAAAGCAGATGAAAGTAAAAATCTCTCCTTCAACATGATTTGGGATGGCCAGCCTCACTCCCCCATGTCCATACTGCTTGTGTGTCAGATGCAGAATTATTCTTGTTAGGCATCACATTAATATTTGAAGAGCATGGTAGACACCTGGTTTGTATGAGAAGCCTCACTGTTTAGAATCATAAAGTGACATCATTTTTATTGACTTCAGTTGGAGCTGAATTGAGCCTTTACACTGGGGAAACAAACAGACTCAAGAATTGTGTACACCTTATGCTGGGAAGGAGCGGGAGGAAGAATCTCTATGTGCTCACCCATAATACCCTAGTGCACTGCATTGAAGATTCACTAGTGGTGGCATAAGGATTGTGGTTGAGATTTTCAAAAGAGCCTTGGGGGATTGAAATTTACTGGGAGTTGGGCATGCATCTAACTCTCTTAAGGTCCTTTGAAAATCCCTCTCTCAATTATTATTTTGGTGAACTAAATCATAGAATATCAGGGTTGGAAGGGACCTGAGGAGGTCATCTAGTCCAACCCCCTGCTCAATGCAGGACCAATCCCCAATTTTTGCCCCAACTAAATGGCCCCCTGAAGGATTGAACTCACAATCCTGGGTTTAACAGGCCAATGCTCAAACCACTGAGCTATCCCCCCCCGATCATAAGTTCTAGATCGGGGTAGTCAATTATTTTTGTCAAGGTCCAATTTTCTTGATCAATGTATAGTCAAGGTCCAGACTCTAGAGAAAATAATAAAAAAAACCCCGATAATGATAATAAGTAGTAAATAAAAACATTTCAGGGTGTGTTCAAAAGTGTCTGGTGGTCGGGATTTGCGCCGTAGTCTGCCTATTGACTACCCCTGTTCTACTCACCCATCCTCGCACTTCAATTGTTTGGACTCAAAGGTACGAAATGCCTCAGTATGAACTACTCACCCTCATCACATATTTTGTGTAGTAAACATTTGTCTTCTTCATTCCAGACATCCATATATTCGTTTGGGCCACAAGACTTACACACAGTCTCAGAAGTGGCAGTGCATTTGGCAGATACGTACTTTCCTGAACAAAGAGGAAAAAAAACACGATCACTTATCACTCACTGATGCTCTCTAAAGATAATAGACCAAATTTAGCCCATGTGTTACTCGACTGATGCCACTGAATTTAGGAAGGTTTTTGCCTATTGTCATCCCAGTTCCTCACTCTGGCCTCAATTTAGCAAGGCATTTAAGCACCTGAGTGACTTTAAGCACACGAATAGTCTCACTGAAATCAGTGAGAGTCATATCACTGTGTGTCTCCAGCACTGAAAAAATCTCAAACAAACCAGGTATCTTGTGCATCTTTTGTTGAAGTCAGTGGTATAGGCTGGGGACTATGCACATGCTTTCAATTATGCATATTCTTAAAGCTTTGCTAGGAGCTGTGCAAATAGACTCATGGACAGGGCCAATCAGAGGGGGAGCCAGGAGAGCCATTTGGCCTGGGCCTCAAGCTCAAAGGGGGCCTCAAATTTAGACACTTGTTAATTTTTTGGCATTTGATAAGTTTCGCAACTTGTTTTTATGTGCATCCCTATCAGAAAAGCATTTGTTAAAAAATATATATATATATTCAAATTATGTCTCACTCTTTTTTTGGTGCCGTATTTTGTTTTCATGTGTCATCATTTTTTATTTTTATTATGGCTAGGGGACTCAAAAGCTGGAAGTGGCCCAGGCCGCTCTGGGCTTCTGAGAGGGCCTACTCATGGACTAAAAAAGGCAAAATGACTTAGTGACCCCATACTAATATCATAAAGAAGATTTTCATTTTTAAAAAATAAGAGCACTAGAATATATTTACCTGGCTCACACTTTGTGCAGCACCGTCCAGAATACTCATAGTGTTTCTCACTCTCACAGGCTGGAGAGATTTGTAGTGATAACTGGGAAACAGAATGAGAAAAACAATACCTTGAGAGTTATTCATGAAATAGTTTTAGAAAAATCCTACTCATGCTTCTGATAAGTGGAAGGAAAGCTCCACTAATTAGTTACAACACTTCACATTGCAAAATAGTCAATATTACGCAGCACAGACAACGTATGTTTCATTATCAAAAGTCCTTTGCAGACAAATTAAGTAATAAACTTGATAATATCTACTCATGCAGAGCTTGACAGCCATGTGAGAAATAAATATTGTAACATGATTGTGCAATTTATTATGCATTTTTGACCTCTTCTCTTACCCAGTAACCCATCTCCCCCAGCACTGTATGCTCACATTTGAACCCCATGAACAGCTTCAAATAAGCATTATTTTAATAAACAAAAAGCAAATAAACAAATAAAAAGCAACTGAACAGAAATACTTCCTCTTTCTCCACCAAAATGAACCCAGCCCAAGACTCAGGTCTAGCAAGGTTTAATACTGTATCAGTGACAGGTTTAAAGTCCAACATTTGGCAACCTGGCGGAGAGCCAGAAATAAGTGATTTAAACCACTGAAAAGGAGAAGTTCCCAGCTTCCCACTGAGATACACAACATGGCTTCAGAGGAGCCTTAATTACAATGAAATTAAACAAAAATTATAGCATCCATAAAAATGTGTCATGTAAGAAGCATATAGAGAGTACACAGCAGTGTGGGTATCTTGTTTTTATCAGCACAGAGAATGACTTGCACAACTCACTCCTACCTTTGCCACCCGAGAGTAAAGCAGCCATCCCTTTGTTAATTATTGCTTTTATAATGTTTAAGACATTTCAAAAACCTTATTTATAGTGATTGATTCTTCATTGTACTTGGATGTAGCTGCTGAAATATTGTTTATAGAGCACTGGAATATTTCTTTGAGGAAAGCATGTTGGCATTCCTGCTGCTGGCAATGTAATTCTTTCGATATATAGCATGTTATAAAAGCACCCTGTGCTCAGCTAGAGTGAAATTTATATCAGGTTCCAGTCCCCTGCTCACGTCTCTCCTTTTGTTTCCTCCTTTTGTTCCCTTTCCTCCTTTCTAGTCTCCGGTGCTTTGATATCCTTCTCCCACTCTGACCTTGCACCATCTGACCTTGTGGGTCTTGTTGCTTGGAATTGTCTTCTTTCCTTTTGTGCCAGTTTTTGTCCTTCTCTTGCTGAAAGGACACTTATTTCCATATGACCCACTTGTTTTGAGTTTGAACCATGCTCTAGGGCATTATTTCTGTGTCTTTAAACTGTATGAGCTGCATCTGAATTGGACTGTAAGATCCTTAGGTCAAAGACAATGTCTTTGTGTATGCTTGTATGGGGCTGAATGCCACTAGTGTCTGATGCCACCAATAATAAATAATAATAATCCTGAGGCAAATTAAGGGTCCAGTCCTGCAAACATAGTACTTTTGTCTCATTGTTCCCTTGTGCTCCCCTGTTGTCTCTGAGGTTTTACTTAGATTGTAAGCTCTTTGGGGCAGAAATCATTTTTTCTGTTCTGTTTGTACAGCGCCTAGCACAAATGGGTCCTGGGCCATGACCAGAGCTCCTACCGCAATATAAATGAATAATAATAATTATAGTTCTTACTATTTGCACCCCCATGATACTTTCCCCCTGAATAATTAGCATTCAGGGCTGTGTACGTTCCTGGCAAGGTGTTAGCTAGACCCATGAATGTAGTAAAACAGGCCTGGCCAGCCTAGTGGCTGAATGACAGTGCGGTTAACTATCTTGTGGACAATGTTCTAGCATGTTCTTGCAATCTATTGAATTTCTGGCATTATGTTAAAATGGTTGTATTTGGTAAAAGGCCAAGCTATCACCAGCTAAGGATTGTGACTTCACTGCAGGATCGTGCAAGAGATGAAGGCTGTGATGAATAAATTCTTATTCACAACCATCTGTGAACGTGGCATACAACTGGTCGAGTCACTTGGGTTTTGTGCAAAAAGTTCTTTTCTTCCTTGTTTGTTCCAGTTTGAAAGTTCCTCTTTTGATGGGAGACTTAAAATGACTGAAATGCTAAACAAGGACAAAGTCTTTAATTTTAAGGAAGGATATGGAAATTTATTTTAGAACATAGAGCCAAAGGGTGGGGAATCATTTTTTAAAATAAAACAGCATGAATGGACAGGCAACCTATACAGATAACTCTTCAGTGGTTCCTCTTATATTTGGAATCAACAGGAAGAGCTGGTTATTTAGTTACCTGTTCTAAAACAGGGGAGCTATACATAACACAGGTGCTATTGTTACATTTACAGTATATTCTCACCACAGCTATTTATCTATCTATATACACGCATTGTGACAATCAACACTCCTTTTTATGGTGGGGTCCTAGTATTTAAAAAGCCTTGCTGTTATCTTCTCTTATTTACACTTCCAGTGAGGTAAACAGTAAAATCACACCAAATTTCTTACATGCACCTCAAATCAAACGGAAACCTAGCCACATAATGGGGTGTGAGTGTGAACTGTGTCCTAGGCTAGAAGGGACTCTGGATCGGTATCAGATTATGCCATAGGCCAGTGGTTCTCAAAGCCAGTCCACTGCTGGTTCAGGGAAAGCCTCTGGCGGGCCGGACCGGTTTGTTTACCTGCCGCATCTGCAGGTTCGGCCGATCGCAGCTCCCACTGGCAGTGGTTCGCTGCTCCAGGCCAATGGGGGCTGCGGGAGGCGGGGTGGGCCAAGGAATGTGCTGGCCGCCCTTCCCGTAGCCCCCATTGGCCTGGAGTGGCGAACCGTGGCCAGTGGGAGCCGCGATTGGCCAAACCTGAGGACACGGCAGGTAAACAAACCGCTCTGGCCTGGCAGGGGCTTTCGCTGAACAAGCGGCAGACCGGCTTTGAGAACCACTGCCATAGAGCATGTAATTTGGGGTGCAAGAGAAGATAAAAAGCTAAATGAGTGCAGCTGGGGAAAGGAGCTTTTATTTTAGATTGTGTTTGGGAAGTCTTAGTCCTTGCTATCTCCAGGTAAGGAGAACTTCTATTTGTGAGGCAGCTATACTTTCAAACTGACAGAAGACTTTGTATAGAAGTCTTCCCTGTCAAACTGGGGGGTTAGAACCTTTTTATTTTTTTTAATGGGTTGGATATTGCAAATCTGTATTTGTAAGGGGTACCTTTTGTGAGCAATCCCAGTGCAGACAATGGAGCTACTCACGGAAGGGTCTGCAGAAGGATTGTACCTGAGCACCAACCTGCACATAAGCTTTTTTTGCCTGGGGGAATCAAGCTACTTTACTTATATGGCCCTATCGGTGTAGTACCTGACCACCTCACAGTTTTAATGGATTTATCCTCATAACACAGAGAGACCAAGTTACTTTCCCAAAGTCACACAAGTAGTCTGTGGCAGAATGGGGAACTGAACCCAGGTGTCTGGAGTCCCAAACAATCACCGGGCCATCTTTTCTCTCTGCCAGTAATAATTCTGTACATATAAATTCTGATTATTTTGATAATATACACAGTATTGGTATGTGTAGAAAAAGGGTCAAATTTCCACAGGTGGTTGTACATAATCTTACAAATACCAAATAAAAAATGAATAAAAACAATCTGGAAACCTAATCTGAAATAAATTCAGCAAACTCAGTCATTTCTTTAAAAAGAAAAGGAGTACTTGTGGCATCTTAGAGACTAACAAATTTATTTGAGCATAAGCTTTCGTGAGCTACAGCTCAAATAAATTTGTTAGTCTCTAAGGTGCCACAAGTACTCCTTTTCTGTTTGCGAATACAGACTAACACGGCTGCTACTCTGAAACCAGTCATTTCTTTGCCAGTCTCAGTATTGGTGAATCTTTTCACTGGACCTTATGGATATATGAAAATTAACATTTAAAAGAACAGTCATATTTTTAAAACATTTTTCATGTTTTTAATTATAGGATAAACACAAGTTTTTTGCTGTAGTCCTTAAATGTAATCCAGTCCGCCTGGTCAAATATACATCATCTCAGAACTGTGTCCATCTCCAATGATGGACAGCACGTAGAATTAAGAAACATTTCCCTCTGGTTTTCATAAGGCCCTGATTCTGCAAAGCACTTCAGCACAAATGAGTAGTCGCATTGACTTCACTGGGAGAATGGATGTGTTCAAAGGTAAGCATCTGAATGAGTGCTTGCAGGCTCTAAGAACTTTTGCTTTAATGAATCATGGGTATAAAGCTGAACTGTGTTAGTCAGACTTTTAAAAGCACACACAGGTGCTTTTGAAGGGGGGACTCACAGAATTCAAATTCCTGCCTTCAGGCTTAAAGAAATATTTATTTTTAGTGCTGTTGAGCAATCTGATGGCAGCAGAAATTGTGTGTCATAGGTGCTAAAATTACTTTCTCGCTCAAATGAATATTCAGACAGACATATCAGAAAGAGAGAGAGAGAGGATAGAATTGCATGGGCCCCTTTACTTCAAAAGAAAAAAATCTGGAAGAACAAGCTAGGGGGTTTCCAGTATTTTTTTAAAATGTCATTTCTTTCAAGAACCTGAGGCTCACTGTGGATTGTTTGTGATATTCTCAGATTTGTGAAGCTAACATTTGTTGAAAGTGTAGTTATAGATGGTGGGTAACTATTTAAAAATGGCACCTTCTTACTCAATATATCTGCTCCCAAAGGGTCTTCAAATCATAGCTGACCATTTTACTGACCAAATCACATTTTTACTTCTTTTTGGAATGCAGACCTAATGTAGAAGCATGAGCCACGTTGTATCCTGTCTCACACAACATCAACTGATTTTTAAACTCATGAGCTTGGTATCAATAGTGACATTAAAAGCAGGAGAAACTGTTTGATTGTCCGACCCTCAGTTGTCCAAGAAGCAAAACTCTGGTGATTCTACTGTTCTTTGGGCATGAGTGTCTTCACCCAGAGGATCAGGATTTGCCCAGTGACGTCAGACCAATAGCCATTTAAACCAGCCATCTTGTTTTCCAGCTGGGACTGGCTCTG